CAGTTAACTGGATTGATACCCAATTAAATATTAAAAGTTTGTTTGGATAACAGGTACATTCTGCAAAGAAAGAGATCAGGTTCCCATGGAGCGCTCAAAAGCCAATTTACACAGCAAAGCTTAACTGTTGTACAAAAATTACTATAAACTTAAGTGTCTCTATATTCCTATTTAGAAACTGAGGTTCAATATATTTCCAAGGACACTTTCTCCCTGTATTCCCAGCTTGGTCCCAGCATTCCACAGTACAGGCAGATATGCATGGGCCTCCTCACATTGTGCTTAAGATCTGAGAGAAGGGAAACAAAATTCTAACAGCCTTAGGTAACCGACGTAGAATGTGGGGCTGCCGATAGCATCTTCCTATCTTCCTTTGGCCCCAAGTGGGCTTCCTCTCACCCTATCCAGTTCTGGCACAAAATAAAGAAAGAGCGACATTTGATCACTGACAAGCAATAGCAATATTTTTAATATCCCAACCTCTGTGAAGCAGTAATCCTTTTATTAATTTTCTAGCCAATGGATTACCTCACATTAACTAGTTTTACAGTCAATCATTTAGACTAGTTTGACAACATTCATTGAATAAGTAATTAAAAACACAGATTCTAATATTAACAGGTCCGCTGGGAGATAGAAAAGAGATTGAGGTTGTTAGCAATTACAACTTGCTCAGATCCACAATCAACAGTCTTTAATACCAGCAGTCAGGAAATCAAAAGACGAATTGCATTGGGAAATCTGATGTCATGAACTTCTCCAGAGTGCTGAAGAGCAATGATGCCAGCCTTGAAAAAGGCTTCAATGAAATGAACAGACACAGTGATGGCTACAATGGCTTTAAGAGCAATAAATGTGAGGCTGGCATGAAACTATAAAGAGCTTCCTGGTGTAGATAGGTTTTTCTCTATGATTAGGAACTCATTAGATCAAACCTAATAGTGACAACAATAATTATAGTGACAAAGTCTAGATAACTGAAGAACAACACCCAGTCTTTTATGATACTATCCGAAGTATCACCTCAGAAGTGCAACCAAGTCATTGATTTTAAAAATGAACCAAACATTAAATAGAGATAATATCATTAGCTTCATTCACTTCATAAAATCACACCTTCACTTTTCAAATCCACCAATACTAGAGATACTAAAATGTTTGCCCTGTCATAAAGCCATTGAAAAGCTTGAGATCCACATGAATGAAGTATAGGCAGAGATAAGGAAGTTGATGAGTGCGATGTTGAACTGAGTAATCACTAGCAGTGTGTGTGGGGAAGAATAATGCATAATATCATATGAAAAGCTGCATTTTCATATGAAATATAGCTATGAAATCTAGTCCATGAAATATACCTATGGAACAGAGAAAGGAAATATGGTGAGCAATAATAATATAAGAAAATCTTACGAAGCTAAAGCTTCAGATAACTCAGTCTATGAAGCTGAACAACCCTAAAGAATTAAGTCATTCAAAGAAAATTCTCATATTGACATTCTGGCCCCATACACACATATTATGTGGCAAAAATGGAATAGATTAACAAAAGAATACATAATTATCTATTTCTGTATATATAAATACTGTCTGGAACAACAACAACAAAAATTGTGTGAGTAAGCAATGTGGTAAGACTTACAGGCTGTCCTCTAAGAAGAGAGACATTAAAAGCAGAGTGAACTAAACAGTCTGTCCCCTGAGAATTAAGCTATGCTTAGGGAATGAGTGGCAACTTGAAAAATGTATCGTCTGTTATGTTAACTTCTACTTGTTCCAGCCTACATGGAGTGAACCTAGAGAAAACCATGATTGTGACTTAGAATTACAAGTTTTAGAAACATCTTCGAAGAGAAAAAGGCAGAGGGAAGACTGTGTTAAGAATTCTGGAAATCCTTGCACATCAAGTGCACAAGTTTGGAAGAAGCATAGACAATTTCCCCACAATAGTTAACAATAAAGTTGGAACAATGGCTTGGGCCATTATGTGGAGAGGAAGATCTCAAAAGCTGACATATCCCCTAGAAACCCACCTGGGTATTAGAGGAAAACATGTTCAGGGGAAGTATGCTCAGCCCAACATCCCAACAGGAAAGTAAGTTAATAAAACTGTAGGACAGGAAGTTGGAAGTTATTTGTAACTTCTTTTCATATAGACCTTGGTACTAAGTTCCCCTTAAAAAGCAAGATGCCTCTTCTGAATGCTTGGCTGGATCTCCCCCTGAGCTCTCTTTATTTCTCAATGGATCCTGAAAATTCACTTTGTCTTTTAGTTGGAATCAACTTGACAGCAGCAGGTTTCAATCTGATGCTATCACTCACTAACTTATCTACAAACTGAAAAGAAATGGTGTCATACACTTTGTCAAAAAAGAACATTTCAAGATCTTCTCTGAAGTACAATGCTGTCAGTGGTGAGACACACGCATCCAAGGAAAATCTGTCAACATGACTATTGTTTACTATTATGACTACAAGTACCAACCACTGAAATCGAAGATGAAGAAATATATTTCTACCTACTTTTGAAGTCTGATATTGATGAAACATGCAATCAAGATACATTAATGATAATTGGTGATTAGAAAGCAAAGTTTGGAGGCAAAAAAAAAAAGGTTGGTAGTCAGAAAACACAGCACTAACAAGAGAAATAAGGACAAAGTTGAAATGACAGAATTCTAAACTGCCAATAATTAGTTCATGACAAACACTTTTTAAAAAGAAAATATAAATGATGACTAAATAAATGGACTTCACCTGATGAAATAAACAAGAATTAAACTGAGTATGTCTGAGGAAAGAGATAGTGGAAAGTCTGATACACTTAACACTAAAAACCGAAGACTAAGTAGACCAGTGAAACGACATCAAAGGCATTGTGCATGAATAACACAAAAGACCTTTTTAAAAAAACTAGAAATGACCAAAATTAATATCAAGGCTTTGAAAGTGGCTCTTGCACATGTTGTTGTTGTTAAGTGCCATCAAGTCACCTTTGGCTCATAGTGACCCTATCAACAACAGCCTTGAACTCTGCCCTACCCTAAACCAATGTTACTGTCTCTGACACACCTGCCCCCGTTGCCACAGTCGCTGTGTCAATCATCTCTTCTGGGCTCATCTTCTCCTGTGCTGACCTTCCACATCTCCAAACATGATCCCTTCTCCAAGGCTGGTCCTTCCTGGCCACATGCCCAAAGTATGTGAGGAAGAGTTTTAAAATACTTCCCTCCAAGAAGCAACCAGGTTTCAACCCTCTCTAGGATATAAACAAGTGAAAGCAAAAGGAAGAAATGGTTAAGGATGATATTTGGACAGCATATTTCAAAGGATGGCTTGAGGAAAAAAAGTAGAGACTTTCAGGAATCAGAAAGCAAGAATATAGTCAGCACTTCTCAAGCTTAAAGAAAAAAATTAAAGCTTTAAGTTGCAATATGAAGGATTCTAAGAGCAAAACAGTGAATGAAGATGACAGAGGCAAAAGAAGATGGAAGAAATAGACATAGTCACTATACAAAATGAACACAATTTGATCAAGACTAAACTGTTTCAGGAAGTAGCATGGTACTGAAGAAAGAAGTCTCAGCTGCACTAAAAGAAGACATTGGCAAAAGTGAAGAGCCCAGCAATGAGTTGCCATGGAATACCAACTGAGGTGCTTAGGCAAACAGAAATACCCCTAGATATGTTCCCTCTTCCATGCCAAGAAAACCAGAAGGCAGCTACCTGGTCAAATGATTAGAAGATGGCTAAATATGTGCACATTTTTAAAAAAGAAAATGATCCAATAGAATGTGAGAACGATATAAAACTTTCCTTAAAAATCACATGAAACAAGCAACAAATGCTGGTGAGGTTGTGGAGACACTGGAACCCTTATTCACTGTTGGTGGGTATGTAAAATGGTGCAACCACTGTGGAAGGCAGTATGGCGCTTTCTCAAAAAGTTGCAAATAGAGATACCATTTGACCCAGCAATTCCACTACTGGGAATATATCCCAAAGAGACCATAACTGACATCCACGCAGATATATGCACACCCATGTTTATCGCAGCTCTGTTCACAATAGCAAGGAGTTGGAAACAACCCAGGTGCCCATCAATAAACGAATGGGTAGAGAAGCTATGGTATATTCACACAATGGAATACTATGCTGCATTGAAAAACAAGGAACTCATTCAATATTATTCAAAAGGGGTGAGCCTGGAGGACATTATGCTGAGTGAAATATCTCAGTCGCAAAAGGACAAATATTGCATGGTGCCACTGCTGTAAAATGGGATTGATATCTGGGTTGGGGTAAGACTGAGGAAAAACTGGATAAATTGTGTATACTGCACTGAAACAGATGAGGGACTGAATAATTTAAAAGCTATGTATGATAGGGTATTATGGTTATCACAAGAGTCCACAATTAAGGTTGCATAGTGGAATGTACTTGGGGTGGTGAGACGGGTGCAGGGGGATTGTGTATCAGGGAAGGAGTCTTTCTTTTACTTTTGAAAGAGAGGAGCGAACTGGGGGGCAGGGGGAGAGGGCTGGGCGGGTAGAAAATGCAGCAATGAATGAATGGAAATCCAAATTCTCTGTAAATGTTCATTAAAATTATTGAAAAAAAAGGAAGATGGTCATGTCCAATCATAATGTAATGCAATTAAAAATAAAGATTATTTTAAAAAAAAGAAAAACAAAAGTATAAAAAATATCACATGAAAGTAAAAGTGGAGTGAGGGATATCACTGTAGATGTCAGATGGGTCTTGGCTAAAAGCTGAGAACACCAGAAAGATGTATGCTTGTGTTTTATTGACTATGCAACAGCATTCAACTATGTAGATCATAATTCATTATGGATAAGATTGAAGAGAACAGTAGTCCCCAAACACTTAATTGTGCTCATGTGAAACCAATAAATACATAGACCAAAAAAGTTCTGTTCAAACAGAACAAGGAGATTGGGCATGGTTTAAAATTAAACAAAGTGTGGGTCAGAATTATATTTTTTCATCATATCTATTTACTATGTATGATGAGCAAGTAATCTCAGAAGTTGGGGTATGTGAAGATGAATGTGGGATCAGGATCGAAGGAAGGCTCATCAACAACCTGTATTGTGAAGATGGCACAACTTTACTTGCTGAAAGCAAAGAAGATCTGAAGCACTTACTGAAGATGATCAAAGACTATAAAATACATGTATCACAGCTCAAAATAAAACAAAAAAATCCTCACAACTGGACCAAAATGAAACATTAGACAAATGTAGAAAATATTTAAATTGTCAGGAATTTAATTTTAACCTGGGCCCCAAATATACACCTATGGAAGCAGCAGCAGAGAAATAAAAAACATATAGTACTGGGTAAAATCTGGGAAGGACCTCATTAAAATCTCAAAGAATAAGGATATCACTTTAAGACTAGGGCATGCCTGACTGAAAGCATTTTTTTTCTATTGCTTCAACTGTAAGTAAATATGAAATAATGAAAAAGAAGACGGAAGAAGAATTGCTTCCTTTTGAGTTATCATGTTGACAAAGAGTACTGAAAATACCAAAGACTACACAAACACATAAATATGTCTTTAAAGAAGTACAGGTAGAGTATTCCTTATAAGCAAGGGCATGGAGACATCAACTCACATATTGTGGGCACATTATCAAGAGAGACTAGACAGTGGGAAAAGAAACCATGCAGAGGAAAGCAGAGGGTCAGCAAAAGAAAGGAAGACTTCCAATGAGATGGCTTGACAGTAACTGCAACAACGGACTAAAGACAGTAGAGGGTGTAAGGATAGTCAGGATTGGGCAAGATCTTGTTGTGTTATAGATCAGGCGACTAGGATTTGGAGCTGGTTCAATGGCACATAACAACAATAGAAAACGTGTGCTAATCTCAACTTCCATCCTTGCCAGTACTAAAAATATCTTGGTATTTAAAAACAGTATTATTGAATATCATGTCAAAATTATATCAGAATCTTATGGTTTTAAACTACGTCTATAATTTCCAGATTCCATAGATTCCATCAATCAACTGGAAATGAATTTGAAATCTGTGTCAAGGAAAGGGTTGTTACATTGAAATAATTTTTGTTTTAATTAACAACAGAGATCCAGTAAATAGCAATATTGAATTCAAATGCCCAAAAGCGTTATAATATTGTAATACTGAAATATTTTATATTATCAAATACTATTCAAAATTTTAATAATTAATCTTCACACAAAAACAAACACATGAAAAATTAAAATGGTTAAAAGTTCATTTGAAGACTTATTTTCTTAGGGCAGTTATCCTGAAAACAGAAAAGAATAATTTTATCTCCTTCTCTTGAAATTGTAGGAAGTTTCTTATATAAAATTATCTCATTTTTAAAGATAGAAAAATATATACCATAAATGTTTGGAAGCAGGAGTGGCATCCACCTCCTAAATAACATGCCTCCAGAAATGCTATGTACTTTGATAAATGTCGATAGTTGGAGAGGGGCTTCAGGCCTTTTGTTCATAGGGTTGGTATGAGTCGTGCTCGACTCGAAGGCAAACAACAATAATATATATATATATATATAATAAATATCATATATATTATCAACTGTTCAGGCATAAATTTAAAATAGTTGTTTTCTAACATTTTTATGATAATTCTGTCATGTGAATTTTACTTTAAAAAGTCTTTAACTTGGCTTATAGAACTAAAGTAGATTTTGTAGTGGGCTGTCTTTATTTCTTAGAATAAATGTTTTCTGGCAATGGCACTATTGAAAAGGTGCTGACAAGTAAGGAGTAACAAAAGGTTACCTGTAGTCCCAATGGAATAGCTGCTTGTACTTCTGAAGTCCAGTAAGTTTGGGAGACACATAGTACAGTCTGCCCAGGCCAATGTCTTACCCAATCAATCCGTGCATTGCTCATATAGGCACGAATTGCATCTCCAATGACCTAAATGGGACATAAAATTTTACAGATGGATGGATTCCCACTTTATATGAACAAAATTATGCAAGAAAAAGCTCAAACTCTGAATAACTCATACAACTCAGATATGAAAGGCCTGCTTCAAGCATGTGATTAGGCAAGTATACAGCATTCCATTTTATTTTGCCTATTTTATTCCATTAATTAGTTATGAATTTGTGTGAAGTAAATTATGTCAAATATTCACCTTGACTAATTGAAGGGAAAAGTTATATCCTAGACACATTTGGCTTGGTTTCACTGTGCAACATAAATTCAAATAATTCTATAACAAGATGATAGATAACCACTTTCCTTAATTTAATCTCATGCTTATTCAGCTAGGTGTGTGGATATACATGGGCACTTAGTCAAGCCACATAAGTGGTTCTATAGCTCATCTGTCTCCACATCTTGTGTCCTTTTAATTACATTCCAAGTCAAGAGCAGATATATAATTGCTTCATGGAAGAGTTGATGACTGTAAAATTGAGAAGTCTAATTTAAGTTACTTTACAATGTGCTTTCGGAAGTCTGATATAGCCACTTTTTCAATCAGTTATCAAGGGTGAATACATAGTCATATGCCAGATATGGTTTCATCTGTGAGATAATACATACTTTTTTTACATGAATTTCAGGAAAGATTTTCAAATGTATATTATTCTGAGAAATAAATGAGACTATTGAACCTTTCTGGGTTTCTAATCTAGTTGGGATATAAACTTATACATGAACAATCTAGGTAGCTATTTTCCTTCACAGTCCTATGGAAACATATTCTGGCATTAAAACTATTTTCTAAGCACTTAGGCAAACAAAATGAAAAGAATATTTTAAATAGTATCAGATATGCACAGAATGAGTCAGCTCTGTAAATCATCATACCAACTAGTAAGCCATGCAACTAAATTCACAGTTGTTGAAGAGTCAAGCAACTCTAGTGGTCCTGTGGTTAAAATATCAGGCTACTAAACAAAAGGCCAGAGATGGAACCTCCCAGTCATTCCATGGGAGGAATGAGGCGGTCTTGGTCAAAGTGGAACTCATTTTCATTGTTTCTGGTCACATAAAAGGGAATGCCACGTGGCAAAACTTATCAAGGATTACTCTTCGGTTACCTTTTACACTCACTCTTTGGCTCAGTGAATCTACAAAGAGTTTTCCTAAGAAAAGATGTAATTCAATCAAAGAAACTTCTTGTTGTTAGGTGCCTTTGAGTCAAGTATGACTCTAAGTGACCCTATGAACAGCAGATCTGAACCCTGTTCTATCCTGCGCCATCCTCACACTTCCTCACATACTGGAGCCCATTGCAGCAGTCACCATGTCAGTTCACCTGCTTGAGGGTCTTCCTCTTCTTTGCCGACCCTTCAAAGCATTATGTCTCTTTCCAAGGAATGGTCCCTTATAGCACATGCCCAAAGTATGTGAAGCAAAGCTTCATCATCCTTGCCTCTAAAGAGCACTCTAGCTGCACCCTCTCCAAAATATATCCATTTGTTCTTTTGGCAGTCCATGGGACATTTAGTGTTCTTTTCCAACACCACAGCTCAAAAGCATCAATTCTTCTTCTAGCATCCTTATTAACTGTCCAACTCTCAGATGGATAGCAAGTGACTGGAAAGACCCTAGCCTGAATCAGATGCATCTTAGTCCTCAAATTGGCATCATTACTCCTCAATAATTTGGAAAGGTTCCTAACTGCAGACTTTGCCTTCTTTCCTGACTGTTGGTACCAAAGACGTTGATTGTGAATCAAAAAGTAAGATGAAGAGGTTGACAGTTTCCATCTCTTCTTCATCTACAATGCTGCTGCCTATTGGTCTAGTGTTAAGAATCTTTGCTTTCTGAACATTGAGATACAATCCATATTGAAGCCTGCATTCTTTGTTCTTCTGCAACGTGCTTCAAGTTCTCCTCATTTCCAGCAAGCAAGGTTGTGTTATCTCCATAATGCATGTTATTGTTGAAAGAAACTAGCTATATGTTTAAGGGCACTGATTACAAAATAACCCTCATTTAGGAAAAAATTAGAAGGTGTCCAAAAGATTTTATACTCATATATAACTTCTTATTTTATACTTATTATTTTAGTTTTCCCAAAATATGAGAGTCTGAAAAAGTTAATAAAAACTTGCTTATTTATGCTCAGCACCAAATTTCCTTCATAATTTTTTCCCTTCTGCTCCCTGCTCATTCATGATTCCTGCTCTTAGAGATAAACTTATATTTAGTCAATATTACATGAAAAAATTAATACATGTTCAATTAATTGCTAATTCTTGGTATGACATTTTGTAATAACAAAAAGAATTAGAAAGATTGAGCTCACGTCTTATGAGATGCAGAAAATAATAAGCTCCCATTAATGTTTATGAATGTATCAGATTTCAGTACCTCTCCTATACACAGATGGAAAAGAATTCACTCTAGAAGTTGGCATGACAAGATGCAAAACTACACAGAAAAGCTTCCAAGCCAGGTTAAAAACAGACCATCTAGGCCAGTGTGAAAATGAAAATACTAACATATTGCTGCAAGAAATGCAATAGACACATGACTGTGACCAAAGTTTTCTGTGATATGGAGGGCATACTGTCCTACTTTTCAAGTCCCTATCATTGACAAGTAATTTCTCTGTTTTCCAGCTATCTATTGCTTAAGAATTAGCAATTTATGCTTTAGTTCCTGCCTGTGTAAATGACAGTTCACCTGTCAAGGATACATTTACAACAGCATTTATTCTCTATCACGGTTACTAAAAAGAATAATAAACACAGCTGGCTACCTTATGGATGGACTTAATCATCATTCTCTCCAATTCAACCAGCCACTTCTCCACTTGACCTCTGGCTTTGGACGTTGAAATAACCTCTATCAGTTCCACCTCCTCTCCTTCACTACTCTTCATGTGAGTGATGTCTAAAGTTTCTGTAAACTGAACCTTTGCAATTCCTTCAAAACATTTCTTCAAATGAGGTTGTACTCTGTAGGGTAAAAGCAAGTTAAAAGAGAATATTTTTTGTGCATCAAACTTCATTTAATTCCTAATTTGCTTGGCCCATGCTACGTGTTGTATGGGAACACAATGCTGAATACCAAACGAACATTTTCTGCCTGTGTGGGCTTTACAGTTAGGTAGAAGGATCAGACATAAATGGAATAAAAAAAAAAATCTTCAAAATTGCAACTATACTAAATATGAAGGAGCTTTCTGTGAGGCTCTGTAATCAATACAATGAACTAAAAAGATATTTAAAGTAACATGAAGAACAAGCCAACTAGCACCTGACAAACAACTAAGCACCAGCCTGAAGAACCTGCAAATGCACACAAAAAGTCCCGTTTGAAATGTAATCAGCAGATCGCTTGCAATTTATGAATTTGGATTAGCACTCTAAATGTTTTAGTAAACCAACTTTTTTGATGATATCCAGTGTCATCTATTCAGTGTAATACAGATGAGACTGACAAAAGCCCTCATATTTGGCAAATTACCAACAATCAATTGCATTTCTCTTTAAATGAGCAAGGAAAGAAAAGCACAGTGTAAGAACTTACATGGAACTAAATCTTTGACCAAATTTATCTTTTTATCTGGACTTCTAACATCTCCTACTTAAAAGATACAAAACACAGAACTAACAAATTGGGTGCAGTCAAGATAGAACTGACTCATAGCTGACCCTCCAATGGGTTCTCAGAGGCTATAAATCTCACAGGAAGAAAAGTGCCCATCTTTCTCCCAAAGAGCAGCTGGCAGATTCTAATAGCCTGCCTTATAGTTGGCAGTACAATTCCTTACCCATTGTTTCACTTGGTAATGAGTATGTTAAAGGAAATTAGGCAAATAGAATCATATATTCTTCTTTATGTTTTCTGCCTTGTTCAAAAAATGAAAGGTAAATAAATACATGCAACTAAGTTTTATTACACATAAGCAACTTACCTAGTGGGATCTTTAGTTTCAGAAAGAATCTCAAGAAGTTCATCATTAGACAAGAAAAAGAATCTGGGGAAGAAGAGACGTTTCTTTTCCAAATACTCATTGAGTCCTTTAAGAATGAGTTCCAGAAGGTCATTGCACTTTTTCAGCCTTTCCAGCATTCTATCAATAGTCACAATTGACAGAACGCGTTTGTCCTAAAAAGAAAGAAAAAACACTGAACTAAAAGATATCAGATATCAGCTTTACTTATATTCTTATATATCTAAGAGTAGATGTTTTTAAGAAAAGTTTCTATAAAATGTAGGGTATTTATGTTTTTAAAATATTACGATAAAAAAATATGATCAACAGAGAAGAGACTGAAGTTGTCAGGGATTTCATTGTACCTGAATCCACAATCAAGCAAAAAATTAGCTGACATACTGCATCAGACAAATATGATGCAAATGACATGTTTCAAAGTGCAAAAGACAAGGCTGTATCTTTGAAGACAAAGGTGCTCTTGATCGAATCCATGTGTCTTTAATTGCTTCTTGTGAGATTTGGACAAGGAATAAAGAAGAACAAAGAACTGGTACCTTTGAATCGGGGTGGTGGTGAGGAGTACTGAATATACATCGACTGCCACAAAAAACCAAACAAATCTGCCTTGGAAAAAGTGCAGCGAGAATGTGCCTTAGATTCAAGGTGGCTGAGACTTCATCTTACCTACTCTAGGACTTCTATCAGGGAAAGCCAGTGTCTGGAGAAGGAGGTCAGGCTGGGGAAAGTAGAGTGTCAAGGAAAGAGAGGAAGACCCTCAGGGAGATGGACTGACAGGGGTCGCAACAACTGGCTTCACCCTGGTGATAACTGTGAGGATAAAAGATGCAGTGTCTTGTTCTCTTATGCATCAGGTCTCTGAGAGTTGAAGAAACTCTATGGCCCCTAACAACAATAATTACTCATGATTAAATAATAGGCTAGCAAAATGTATATAACTAGACTCTTTCATTAGGAAAGAGTAGTCTTGAATTCTAGTCATACTGTTTGTATTCTCTCTGGTGGAAAAGTATGAGAACAACAAAAAAAAAAATCAGAGAGAGGGGAAAGAAAATATTGGATGAATTCACAAGATTGGAAAAGGGAAAACCAAAATGACAAGAGATATGTCTCTTTGTCTTTCATTTTTTTTAAGAAAATGACTCTGAAAAGCTGCCATCATTATTTTTAATATTGTCATCAATAAAATAGGAACTACATTCTATGTAATCAGTTTTATTGAATGAGATAGTTCTTTGAAAATGACATGACCCATTGTTTTATAACTGTAGATTAAAAAGTAAGGGATTTGTGGGACTAATTGAAGCTCAACATTAAGACAAAGATTCTCACCACTGGGCCAATTGGCAGCACCATGATAGATAGAGAAGAGACTGATGTTGTTAACAATTACAGTTTGCTCAACTCTACAAATCAACACTCTTGGCAGCAGTAGACAGAAAATCAAAAGATGAATTGCACTGGGAAAATTTGCTATCAGAGAACTCTCTGTAGTACTGAAAAGCAATGATGTCAGTCTAGAGACTAAGTTGTGCCTGACTCAGGCCATGATCTTTACAATTAAATGCTATATACCAGAGAGCTGGACAATGACTAAGGATGACAGAAGAATTGATGCCTTTGAGCTCTGGTGCTGGAGAAGAGTCTTGAACATACACCATGGACCGCCAAGAAAACAAATAGGTCTTGAAGAAGGTTAAGCCAAGTTTTTCCTTGGAAGCTAGAATTTTAAAGCTCCACATCACATACTCTGTAGCCAGGAGGGAGTAATCATTGGAAGAGGATAACATTCTTGTAAGGGTGGAGGGATAACACCGGAGAGAAAAACACCAGATGAGATGAACAGATACAGTAACTGGGGCAATGGCGGTGATGGGTATGGAATCAGTGAGACTGGCTCAGGACAGGGCAGGCTTCAAGGTTGCTATGAGTTGCATGCGGCACCTAACAACAACAATGTTTCTATGAAGAGAATATATTAAAAAGAGCCACATTTGGAATTACATTATAACACTTTACTTGCTAAAAGATTTAATTTCAAGGTATGTTCTGCCTGAACACTATAAAGCTAAGACTGTTCAACCTCTAAAGAAAACATGGATTTCTGAACCTTCTCTCATGTGAAAGTTTCACTTTGAGCTATTTACTTTAAAATTATTCAAGATGAGACAAATATTGTATAAAACCATTACTGAAGAATGAATATAAGGATCCAAGGGGGTGGAGAAGGGTGGAAGGAGAGGGATGAGGATGTGCAGGGGGAGGGTAGATTAATCATGGAGTTGTACAATTTGATGGGTGGGGGGAGAGGGAAATTGGAAGAATCTATTCTTGAAAACAACGTATTCGTATTTTGTTAATAAACTAGTATAAAATAAAAAATAAAAACAAAGAAGTACAATAAAATGAGATGATTGTTATGATTAAAAAAGATTCAAGATGAATGAAATATTTGAAAAATTTTCCTTTATTTTGTAGGACCCTATATAAAAATGTAAATAGTAAACTAGTATCAAGGACTCACACTTTAAAAATGTAAATAACTTAGTGGATTTTTTTCCTAAGTATTCATAGACATGATTGCTGGTTTAATTTTTAGGAGTATAGCTAAAAATACAATCTTAAAAGAAATGAAATAAAAATTCCATTTTACCTTTTTTTTAGGACACATGGTTTGTGTCATCAAAAAACAATCTTTGATCCCATTTTGGACATATAATTTCACACACTATTCATCCTTTACAAAGTAGGAAAAGTTCTTTAAAATAAACTTAGAAGTGTTGAAAAGAGGTGCTAAAACAACACATCTGTGTTGAGATTTCCATTATTAGGCCACAAATCAGTGAGAACAAACCTGTACAGTCCATTTACTAATGAGAAATAAAGCATTTTAAGAAATGTATTTAAAATGAAATTGATACTATTGTTAAGAACAGAACATCAAATTTCAGGTTAACTAATTAAACTTTAATTAACCTTGCTGCTTCTTCTTGTTGCTATTCTGGACTGTCAAGTTGCCTGTGACTCATAGCAACCCTATGTACAACAACCTTAAACTCTGTTCTATTCTGTGCCAATCTTACTGTCTTTGACACATAACATATTGTCTATTATTATAACACAGCATAGACATATTGTCTATTCCCCATAACCCCAGTCACTGAATCAATCAATCTCATGAGGGTATTCCTGTTTTGTTCTGTTCCTCCACACTCCCAAGCATGACGTCCCTCTCCAAGGACTGGGCCCTCCTTGTAACAAACATGTCCAGAGTATGTCAGACTTTTAGTTTAATTATTAAGCAAGGGCCGAGATACCAATCATAAATATCAGATGTGAAATGTTTCATACAGAAATTCTGCTCTATTGTAGACGTGCCTACAACATCTGAGTTAATAATTTTGTTTTAAAAAATTATTATAACTTGGAAACAACAATTTAATTAAAGAATGAAATAACTGTTATTATTAATACCTGTTGATAACATATTAGGTCATCTTATCTTTAAAGGTGCACAATATAAGAAGCCATTTACTATAATTATTTACAGTTTGTTTAAAATAATTAATATAAAAAGCCATTTACTATACATCTTTATATTTTGTTTAAAATATTTATACTTTTTTAAATCCCAAAACAAAAAACCCCACCAAAAAAATGGCAGGGACTGCTCATAATTGAAACATAAAATTCTACCAGCAGAGAATGTACTCCTTCCTACAGTCAAAACTCAAACCATGTGCTTCAAGTGCCACCTTCTGGAAAAGTATTTCTGTCTTTGCTGAAAACAACGTAATGTTAACAAACATGAAAAACTCCTATCTTAGCCAAATCATTTCTTGTACTTGGATTTTAGATCAGAAACTTGAGAGATAAACCAACAAACAAATCAGTTCCTTAAAAGAACAGTTCAAATTCCTTTCACTAAAATATTACAAAAAAACCACCATGGAAACTCCTAGCTTTCAAGCAAAAATTTCAAACTATCAAATTCCTGAGGTCAAACCTACTTAATCAGATTAGCACATTTACTCTGAACCAAATATGCTACACCTAAACAAACACAAGCAATCATTTATGTACTTCTGCATATATTTTGTTGTTGTTGATTGCCTTCGAGTGGAGCCCAACTCATAGGGATCCTAGGAACAAAAGGCCTGAAGCCCCTCTACAACTGTCGACATTTATCAAAGTTCACAGAATTTCCAGAGGCATATTTAGGAAGTGGATGCCACTCCTGCTTCCAAGAATAAGGAAAAATAAATGATCAACTGGAAGCTAACCCCCTTTTTCTCTTGACTGAGAAATCAATCATAACAAAGACAGTATCAGATAAAGCAAAGGCCAAAAAGTCAGACTTAGCTTCTAATCAACACTTTGCTCTTAACTTACACGACTTTGGAATTTTACTTAACGTAAGTCTATTTTTCTATCTTTAGAATGGGGATAAAAGTCTTCCCCCAAAGTTGAGGCCCAAATTAGATAACCTGTTTGAAGTGACTAATATAATTTCAGAAACACACAAATACTTGCCAGTTAAGTCTTTTAATTTTCTCTTAAAAATGGCTTGAAGATTTTAAAAAAGAGAAAAAGAGTGGGAGGGAAGGAGAAAAGGAGAGGAGAGGTGTTATGATGGGATCCAAGAGGGTGGAACAGGTACTTCTATTAAAGCACTAGTTCTATGGAATTAAAATGAAGACCTTATCATTTGTTATCTTCAAGTAAGATATTTATCATAGTAAAATAAAATTGATTTCATATCCTTTTTAAAGGAGCTCTGGTGAGGTAATCTGCAGGGAGTTTCATTGTTAGGTCAAAGCCATGTCTTTCTGACAGCCCAAATGCACTAATCAGGAAATGTGGCCCATTTTCTCCTGGGCAGTTTACAGCCTTGGAAACCCAATGGAGGGTCAGCTATGAGTCAGTTCCAATTTGATGGCAATGAGAAGATCCCTTTTAAGCACTGTCATAAAACCATGGCAGAAAGCAGACATTTCATAAGTATTTGTTGAATATTTTAGTGACTAAAGAATTAAATTGATGGAGTTTGAAATCCAGCATGTTCTACCAATCTAGCACTCATTAGTTACATTCTCAAGACCTTGTAATTTTATAAGAAGGTGCTAAAAATTAAAAATTTAGTTTAACTTCC